CCTGCTTCTGCAAGGTAGCCTCGTTGTCGCCCTCCTCGCGCTTGAGTCCCGTCTGTTCAGCTATGATGCGTACCATAGTCTCCTGATCGGGAGCTGCAGATGCAACACTGCCTGGGTCCTGGGGAATATCCTGCTCAGCGCCTTCCTCTCGAGGCGCAGCAGGTGTTTCCACCAGCTCTTCCCACGCAGGAAACTCTGGATCACCGTATGTCGCAGTACAATTTTTGTATAGGTCACGCAATGCCTGAAGTGCAGGATGGTTGTCAGGGATGACTTCCTTGGCGAAATCTGGTAGCTCCACAATACTATCTTTCAAGATGTTCTGGTATACTTTGGAAATCCATTGAAAGATGCCAGTGGTCGACTCCTCGATAGTCTCTGGGTCGAGGTAGTGTGCCAACTTTTTGAAGAAGTGATCTGCACCGCAATTGGGTAAGTCATGCGCCCACTTGTGGGTATGATTGTAGTTCAAATGATATGACTCCGCGTTCCATGCTTTCGATCCAAATCGAATTCCAAATTGTAAATGTGACTGAATTTTGTCCATTACGATTCTGTCTGCGCCACTGTGTATCTCAATGATCTGCCTCATCTTGATCATAGGCGAATCCACCAATAACGCCGATGTCCAACAATACACGCGGCAATCATCAGACTGTCTAATCCATCTTGAATCCTCGTCGGGGTCGTAGCCTGGATGATCAAGGAAATTCGATGGCGGATCAATGATGTTATCGAGGATGCTTGCCTCGATCTGCTCTTCTGCTTGGATGTCTGCCGAGAGGTCTGCCCTCATGTTGTCGTTCGCAGCTTTCTCATCTGCAGTAAGAACGATATTTGATATGTCCACGATTACGGGGATCAGTGGATCATGCGATGATGCTGTACCCTGTCGAGGAATGTCGCCCGTCTGAGCGTTGTCCTCGGCAGGTGTGGCCACCAGCTCGTCTGGATCAGGTGTCCGTGGAGCGGGCCTTCTTGGTGGTGTACGCGGAATACGTGGTCTATGGATGCTAGGCATTCCAAGGTATGGTAAGCTGCCGCTAACCTTGTGCTGCAGTATGTCCTCGCTGCAAGATGTCGGGCCCTTCAGGGCAGTCTCCATCCATGTTGGATCGATGGCGTGTTCTTCGATGCGAATCGGCAATGCAAATACAACGCCCTTGAGGGGCATGCTTTTGTCATTATACCAGATATTTACCCATCGTAAACCGTAGTTGAGAATAGGCACTTGTACCGCAAAGAACTTGTCGAAGATGCCGAAATGGATGATTGGACCATATATGTGTCCCTTGGACAAGGCAATCTTGGTATTGTGATTGCCTTTGGGCCAATGGTTGTCGTAGTGGAAGCATTTGGTAGAACCCCAATTCTTAATGACAATGAAGTCGCCCATTCGAACATCGTTAATTGCAGGACGACGATCCCAATCTTTTTGCATGATCTTTGCTGTGATTGGTCGAAGAGCTTCACGACAATGCGATAATGCAATCAACCATTCTTTATCATCTGCTTTGTGATTGGTCTCCTGGATCATAGCACGTACTATTTGCTCGTCCAAGGCGTCCTCTGCGGATGTACGGCCAGCAGGGGGTTCCCCCGGCCTGGCCGAGGGTGCTGATGCTGGCGTCATCCTTGGAGGCTCCATGTCTTGGTCGGGGTCGATAGGTGCCAATCCAGGTGGGTCGTCAATAAGTTCTCCAGGAAGGCAGGCGCAAATCTCGTACTTGCTCAATGGCTCTCTGGCTGCCAATGGCGGGTAGTCCCATGGGTCGCCGTCTGGCCACAGCTGCTGGCCATGCATGTGGTGTGGTTTGAGGCGGCGAATTGCCATAATTGCCGCAGCGGGTACCACGTCCTCAGTCATGATAGCGCCCTGAGCACCCAACCAAAATCTGCAACCTGCTTTTGTGGCGATCTCCATGTTGATCACCAGCTCGACTTCGTTCTTGTAGCTGTTGAACTTGTACGATTCCACTGAAGTATGTGGGTTCTTTTGAACGTTGTTCAAATATGTGCTAGAACTGAAGAATGCCTCAGATCGCTGCGATGGTTAATAAGTTCTGTCTCTCTGAGAGTGTGGTTCAACATATCCAGGGATGATCCCTGTCTTCAGTATGTTCTTCCAGGCGCGGGATGCTGTTCCATGATGGAGATATTTGATATCTGTCCACTGTAAGCTCTCCCATCCCATGTTCCATGGCTTTGAAGATGGGTTGACACAACTGTGACCACCGACGCACCGAATAGCAATAACGCTCTTCCAGTCAAAAGTGCTGGGGTCACCTCCGTCAGGAATCGGCTTGGCGTATATCTCGATTCTGTTTTTCTGCGGGTCAATATGCTTCTGGAACGCACGAATAATGAATATCGGATAGTAGTCGTTCCAATCGGTGTATCCATCATTTTCACCGTCTTTCTTGAAATGTGCCACTGCCGCTTCCATGGATGGTCCATGTGTCTTTCTTTGCAATCTCGGAATTTCCATTCAACCATTTCTTTAAATGATTTCCAATTGCTTGGAATATTCCAATCATTCTTTGTTGTTTCATCCCAGATATTAATACGTCTGTCATGAAATTGGTTGATCCAAAACTTTTTGTAGTGAATCTCATGGCGTAACATAGTCGTGATGTCTTTGCTCATGTATTTGTTTGTTCCCAGCCATTCTTCATCAATTAGCTCAGGACCATAACGTACATCGTCGTAATGTGGTAATGGTATCCATTTCCATTCTGGGAAACAACCAGGTTGTGCAATGCCAGGCGCATGAGCAATTACACTATCATCATGCAGTAGCTGCTCGTACCACTCTCGGTCTTCGATGCAGGCAAATCCATTGGTCGCTTTCGTGCCCCGCAACATTGGGCACATGTATGGATGTTCATCTTTGACGCCATACTGTACCTTCCATTCGCGAATAGTGCATGAGTTGCCGAAGATCCCGAGCTTGCTGGTATCCTCGTGCATGGAACGCTCACAACTGTCCTGCCATGACAATATATTCATCTCATGTGGAGAAGGCTCCTCCTCAGCAGGAGTTGCCTCCAGCTCCATTGCCTCAAGGTCGGTGCCGTCATCAGGGATCGGTACCGCCTCAGCTTTTGGGAGCTGATCTGCTGGGTGTTGTTCTGCTTTAGGCTCTGGAGTCGATGGTTGCGACGCTTTGATCGATTGCGGTCCAGGTTGCAGTGGATCAGGCAATGGGCCTGGTGGGGCTGGCTGTGCTGTGTCATCAGCTGCCCTCCATACGGCTGTAGGAACATTAGGGTCATGACCCAAAGCAACTCGATCCAGTGCATTCTGTTTGAAGAATGTTTTGCATGCCTCGATGTTCTTCTCGTTCTCGGCAGCTGGGCCGATGCGGTGAGAAGACAATCTGTTTTCTTCTGCAATGAATCTTGATTTGGTCGCATTATCGTCTCCATCCAACTCTCTGATCTGACGTAAGAATTGCTCGAATACAACCCAAGTAACTGCATGTGCATCTTCAACTGTTTTGACGATCTTGGGTTCTAGAAGTTCATCTTTCTCAAGAGAATGCCAAGATGCCCAAGCCCCAGGGTATTCTTTGATCAACAGCATAAGGTACTGGAATAAGTCGTTGTATGCAATAACCCATGGATCATTATCAGGAAGGGTTTGGTCAGGATCGCCAGGGTCAGGTGCTGGCGTACGTGTCGACATTCCAGGAGTCGGCTCAGTGGTGTCGCCTGTCTCGGCAGGCAGTGATGCCGGCAATGTGCCCTCGGCACATTACGCCATCCACGCACAATGAGCCATCTCGTTTGCCGTCTGTGTCATCAACGTTGTGAGGCTGAGGTCTCTTTTCCATTCGTTTGTCAAATTTTCTCTGAAGTCGAGGGCTGCCATGATTTCTTTGGCCTGCGTGTAGGCCTGGTTGTCCGTGACAGAAGTCAGCAATGGCGGCCTGAATGGATATGGCTGAGAAGGAAGAGACTGTATCAATGCGCAAAAATTGCGATAGCATACTGCGTCGCAGAATTGCGTTGTAAGCATTGCCATGTTATGGTTATTCTGTTTGGCGTGCCAAGCCTGTGGGGTAACCCTGTCGTGCGTATCCACCCAATGGTCGGATGGAAGAACAGTGATACCACGGTTCTGCATGATAGTGATTAAGTCGCTCGTGTGGTGATCAAAGTTCGGGTGTACGCCCCATTGCGCTGCTTTTCCAGGTCCCATGACCGTGGGGCAGCGGAAATACTGCATCACTTCGACAAAACGTGATACGTCCACGAGCACGTGTACGGGCATGAGCGTCGGGACGCCGCCCTCACATTCCATCTTTTGGAGCTCGTGTACGTTGGTAGGAGCACGACTGTGATGTCGGCGCATGTCGATGGTGTTCTGTCCAGGATTAGCACATTCGATGTCGTTCGCACTCCATACTACCATGGCATTGAGTCCCCTGTGATAGTGTCTTTGTTTTATGGATGATGGGAAATCATTGGCCCAGTATTCCCAGATGGTCTCGTTCAGCTCGCGCCACTTCTTGATGGAAGCGTTGTCGCTTTGAAACATGAGGCCTCTGGCTTCGCGGATCATCCTGATCATATTGCGCTGCTCGGGAGTGTTCTCAAACTGATTGTTGAGAAGAGCGTTGATACGGCTTTCCTCTTTCTCGAAACGTTGCTTGCGTAGTTCCTCCATTCCGTATCGTACGCCCTCATAACCAGCCTCAGGCAAGAGAACGCAATCTTGACCGATCGGCGTGTCATTCTGTCTGAACCATTCCCTGTAATTGCCAAAAGAGAATGCCCACATCATGATGTCGTCGCGGATCATGGTCGACAGGTGCTCAAGAGTAGC